TTTCCATCCTCAACCCTACACCCTATAGCTAGTCCATTTCATTGTCCATGGCGTTTTCCCTTGGATTCTCCATTGCTTGCTTGCCCTAAGCCCTAGTTCAGAAGCAAGGAAGCAAATTCAGCAACACTTCAAAGAGTTCGGCAAGGTCACGATGCTCGGCGCGCGCAGAAATTCAGGCTAATGGAAAACTCACCAGGAAGCCTGAGAACTCCTTTGTAGTGCCCATGTGTTCCTCGGGTTTCTGGGAGGGTTCTAAACGTGTGCCTTCTTCTAGCCGTGATCATAGTGAATACAGGGATCGTATGAAAGCATGTTTTGAAGACATGAGGTTTAAGTTGGACACTGCCCCCTTCTATGAAAGCTTTGATAGCATTCATAAGATTAGTATATGGAGTCTCTAATATGGCCCCTGTTATAGACTCTTAACATGACCCCTATTATAGACTGTTAACGGATGAGGGCAGCACCCATGGTTTAAGACGTTTGGTGTCGAGGGTTTGTGGTTCTCAAGATGATGGGTCCTCCTTGGAGGTTTGGCAGAGTCTCTATATGCTTAGGGTTTAAGGATTAGGGTATAGGGATTCTGGCTTCTCCTTACCGCCCGCCCCAACTCCATACTACTTCTCCACGGTTCCCCTTGTCAAGCTTGATTAAGTCTGAAGGTCTGAATAAGGCCAGTCAAGCAGGAACCCTGAGAGGTAGTCTGGAGGAGAGCGGCTAGGCCCTTTATATGGGATCGGGAGCAGTATCCTTGGGATGGTAGTAAGCTCTCTCAAACTAGTGCCTCATAACTTGGGTACTGCCCCCTCAGTAATAGCTGGATAATAAGTATAATATGGTTATATATAGCCCTGAATAGGACCCCTAATATAGACTGTTACTGGGTGGGGGCAGTACCCAACTCATAACGTGGGCCATCTCATTGTCAGCTTTGGCGGATGCACCTGCCGCCTCAAAATTGCGAATGCAGGAGCCGCTTCTAAAATTCTTGCATTCACCCGAATGGCTGGTTTAGGGTTTAGGGTTTAGGGCTACCGCGCAATATGATGGGTCCGGAAAGGGGGAGACGCACATCAGGATCCATACCCCAATCCAGAGATCCGGAACAAGTCCCCGAGTTCCGTTCCGCACCCTTCCTTTCCAGACCACAACAGAGAAGAATATGCTAAGCTAGCAAACCTTACTGCTTGTAGTTTTGTTCATCATACCTTCTCTTTGGTCAAGGTTGCAGTTCCTAGCCTCAGGTTTTACAACTTCGTCAAGATAGGCCTATGGTTCATGCGGTTTGCATAAGATCCCAGGATCACCTCATGATGGACTTGTGCTACTGGCCAGCCCTACAATATTTACATTTTGTCGTAGATTATGCCAGTGAAGGTGGTACCAGTTTTTCTCATCAGGGTTCGGTTCCATACCCGTTCCAGACCTACACACGCGTTTCGTCCAGCGTGACCCACTTTGTTACATACTGGGAGGGCCCATCCACATAACCTTGTTTTTAGTAATCATCATGCGCCCAAAACAGATCAAAACACATGTGTGCGATCCAGACGTTCACGCGGGGCACGTAGCTGTGATCAGTAGCCAGATGGCAAGACTACCTATAGAACAGTAACGACTGCGATGCAGCGCTGGTTTCTGTTCATGGCATTTGTAGATTACCAGGATCAGCAGTTGCAACACAAAGCACCCGCAGTGCTTGAACCAGAATCTTCCAAGCAAGCAGGCTACATTCAGATACCACTTAGCATACTCCCGAGCCGAAACTTCTCCATGACTCACTTGCTACACCCAGCTCCACTCGAAGTAGCCAAGGAACTGCAACGTACTGATGGACAAACGCCTCCTGGAGCATGTTCAGACAGCTAAGCTTTTCGTGTAGACACCCCACAAGCAAAGAACACCAGTCCCCATAAGCTCCATATGTCAAGCCTCGGAAGCTCTGGATAGAAGAGCCTGCCAAGAAGCCTAGGTTTTTTTTGCCTCCCTTGTTCATGCAAGGTAAGAAGCAGTTTCGAGGCATGGGCTTCCTCACCATGAAGCCGGAAGGTGTTTACGAAGGAAGAAAAACCACCAAGCAAGATATGGTGGCGTGGATCCTCTGCTAGGTAGTCAGAAGATTTTAGGGTTCTAGGTTGGATAGACCTCAATTGGAACAACTATCTATAAGTCTGCTCCCCTGCTACCCACCCTCGTACCCACCCTAGACTACCGCCGCCTCCCCAGGTCCCCCGTTAATTAGTAGGGGAACCCATGAAACAAGGATTCTCAGCGAGACACACACCATCAATGGAGTGCAGATCGAGGTAACGCAGGCGGATGAGAAGCCCGAAGAGGATGAAGACCGAAAGAGAGACATGGGCAGACGTTAGGATTTTAGGGTTTGGGGAGGTTACCCCAAGAATGGAGAATCAAAAGGGAAATCAAGTGGAACATGACATGGACCCCCCACTCAGGGATTACATAGGTTTATGTAGGGGAACGGAACAACGAGGACAGACGTGTACGCGTTGTCCCGTTGTTAGTTTTCAAGACGGAAAGCTATAGTTTCAAGTCCTAGGAACGAGATTTCGCAACATGTTCTTTTCTTCCGCCCCAGCAAAGCCTGCACCAGAAGCTTTCGATAGTGCCCACGAACTGAGTCCCCTCATGGCTTCTTATCATACAGGCCCTAGCAGGAGCCTTGGGTTCACGATAGGATGCCTCCTTTCAAGGGTGCACTGCGGGGTGCAGACACATCCTAAGCTCAGCCTAGGAGAGGACAGGGTCACGGAGCGACGGCTGGCGCGGTTGGACAAGGACACTTTTGCTATAGCAGCTCCAATCACAGACTGGCAGGAATGAAGACTGTAAGCGTATAACTGTGGTAGTGGCCGACAAGGTAAACATTGCCGTCGCACAGGCAGCAGCAGCACCCACAGAATATTTGCTTGCCTTCTGACTATCTGCGTTATTATTGTTGTTTTTCTCAGCTTCTTCTGAATTTGCTTGCCGCTGCCGCTCCCACTACCACTACCGCTACCACTATCACTCCTCCGGCGGCGGGGACGACGACAATGACGACGACGATCATATTTCTAGGCATACTTCATGTATTTTGCTACAGGCTATTGGAGCCTCAACGGCCTGAAAAATGCTGGCTTTCCACTCCGTGACTTTCTGCTTTCGGCCGCTTCATTCTTGCTTTCGTTACGCCCTCGGGGGTTTGCCTCCTTTCCTACCCACAGCCAGTCCCGCTGCAACAACCACGACGACTTGCGGTTATTAGGGCAGCTACTTCCAACATTGACTCAGCCTTCTTCTACGGCTCCTCTTGTTGCTACTGTCAGTTCCAGGTCTTCTAGCAGTGCCATGAGCACAGCCACTGTATTCCAAGGATCGTTCTGCAAAGCCATCTGTTGTTTCTGCGACTAGCAGTTGAAAGGGCAACGCCGTGCAATGCTGGAACAGGAGCAGCGTATGAGCCGTGCTCTTGGTGGTGTCATCCTCGATCGAGGGCAGGAGAAGCTGGTGCCCTCTCCGTGGTTCAAGCGATGGAGGACCCACCTTTGGGAGACGCTGCCGAAAGGTCTGAACCCAATTTCGTGGAAGGATGCCAATCTGCAGTGGCTCTGCTGCACAATTTGGAGTGAGGTAGCGGACCATGCGGCGCGAACCGGAGACAAGACAGTCAAAGAAGCCTTGGCATTTTTCCGCGATGCCCATTCTGAAGCAACGCGCTGGCTCTTCGTTCCGGCTGCTGACGTTCTGCTCATCATAGGAGATGGGTTGCTGACCCTGACTGCTCTCGGTGTGTTCGTCACGCAAGAGTACGTCGAGCCAATCGCGCCGCCTACGATGAGTACGCTGGTAGTGTCCCCATTTTTTTAGGGCCGCAGCTGACCGGATCCATACGCGTGTTAGAAGTCTGCTGCATGTAAACCTGACGCATTGGTCACCAAGGTCAACATTGTCATCCCGACGTTTGCGTCCGCAAATCCCCCAGCACAAGCCGTGGCTGGGTTGCCGTGAAGGTTTTTAACTTGAGTTACCGTTAGGGGGGGACCATGTGGTAGTTGTTGAAAATACATGTCCCAACCCTAAACTCTGTGAGTTCCCTGTTTGGTTAGGATCTCCTTTTAAGGAGGTGTATTCCCAGTGGTACCTCCTTTATGAGGACTTTTAGCACAAACCCCCATGTATTAAGCTAGCCTAAAACAGATTTAGCTTGTGGCATCCTGCTGTATGTTGATCTTCCTATATTCCATTTCGCTCTCCAGTCTGGATACATTCTATCTAGACGTTAAGCCCTATGCAGCAACCCAGGTGATGGGCAACGTTCCGCAAATCCCGCCACTCACCTTCTCAGCTAACCCAGACCTGAACCGAATGCAGCGACTTGCCTACGTGGGAATTTATAGGCTGCAACGAGGTTGCATAGGAACATATAGGTTTTTGTAGCGTGTAATATTGCAAACAGGGGTATAGGAATATGGAGCGTTCAGTGTATATCAATTTTCGGATTCCCAAAGGACATCTTCTTGCGGTCAGGACTTCAAACGCTCCCCTGGATGTTAGGTCGTAGGCAAGAAGCCTTGAGAACCCCAAAATGATTCACCTGTCCAAAGGGCATGGCTACTTTCACAGAGGATGCGATGTAAACATAACCCTTGCCCGAGAATGGCATCTGCCCCCACGAGATTGACTCGCCAAGCGTTGGGGGATATGGGTGCTAAGTGAGGCAAATCTCAGAAAGCTTGCTTTCAGAGATGTAGTGTTGTTGCATGAGATGGTTTTTGTTGATTTCCCAGGGTGCCTGGTAGCTTTAAACCAGCTGCTCTGCAAGAGAGGGGTGCCCTTAAGTCTGGCAGAGCATGGAGTCCAGAAGCAAAACAAAGACCCAACCAAGTGATCTTTTTTGAAGTCTGTGTCATGTGGGGTCGGGGCTCTAAACCACAACTAGGTAACCCAGTAGTACCCTTCTTCCCTTTTTATTTTGGTGTCTCCTTATTAAACTGAATACTAGGAAAAGGGGACCCTTATTATTGAGGGGTTACTGGGGAACCTACACTCCCCCAAACTAACATGGAAACCCATATAGTACCCCTTTAGAAGGACTGTAGCCTTTATTGGGCTCTTTTTGGGTCTCCATGTTAATTTCCGAAAGTGTAGACAGAAGGTGTTTGTAAGGAGGAAGGAGGCCGGCAGCCGTTCGCCAGGTTCCATGGCACCCCATATCGTAATTCCCAAAAATCGCCCTCTCCCCGGCCTGGGGTTTTAGGGTTGAGGGTTTAGGGTTCAAATTAAGGGGACCCCAATATGGACCCCAAACTAATATGGGGATCCCCAAAAAGGTACGCCTTTTTTTGGGTGCTAGAACCCAGAAGGGACCCCCAGTTTTTCATGGCAATGTTGTCAAACGTTGGGGCTCAGCTAAGGAGCATATATAGGGACCATGGGGGAGTAAGCTAAGGGGAATGTAAGGTTTATATAAGGTTCCTACATGGTAGCTCTCATCCCTTACTTGCCTTAGAGAAGTTCAGAACTAACGGAAAACCCACTCATATTAACATCTAAGCATCGCCCCGACTCCCCTTGGCAGATTTCTGAAGACCTCATCCTAAACTCCTAAACGCTCTTTACCCCCTGTATACTCCCCAGTAACCCTTTCTAGGGGAACCTCAACCAGGAAAGGCAACCATGATGACTGCAAGATCTTCGTGGGCGGCCTTCCTCTCACAACTACCCTGGATCAACTTCTCCGGTACTTCTCAGCATACGGTCAAGTGACGGATGCCGTGATCATGACGCCAGGTTATTGTTGGACACAACTTTTCTGACTCTGAGGAGTACTATTCCACGACCAACTTCAAGATTTTTATCTGTATGTCTACCATATCCATGCCTATATTGCGATAGGTTGTCACACATACTTCGAGAAGCAGACAACTTCCATTTTGTTCCCGCTGACATCTCGATACTACATTTGTTCTCATTTTAAGCATTACTTTTGTCCCTAAACCCTAAACCCTTACTGCTAGAACTACTTTTTTGGCGATTATTATTACACCGATGCCCCAGGACTGACAAGCTGACTGGAAAGCCACGGGGCTTCGCCTTCATTTGTTATGAGACTCCTGCGAGCGTATCTGGTCTTGGGTCTTTAGGTTGGTTTAGGGTTTAGGTTTTTGGGCTTGGGGTTTAGGTTTTAGGGTTTAAGATTAGGTGTTAGCCATTAGGGGTCAGGATTTAGTTGAGGAATTTCGTACATATGTATAGATGCTTGCATCTGCCTGTATGCATGTATGCATGTATGCATGTATGCATGTAAGCATGTATGCATGTATGCATGTATGCATGTATGCATGTATGCATGTATGCATGTGTGCATGTGTGCATGTATGCATGTATGCATGTATGCATGTATGCATGTATGCATGTATGCATGTATGCATGTATGTATGTATGCATGTATGCATGTATGCATGTATGCATGTATGCATGTATG